AGGGTGCCCTGGGGTGCTATGGGGTGCCATGAGGTGCTGCAGCCCAGGAGGGCACCGCGCTCAGCGCTGGGATGGCCACCACCACCACCGCCATTGCACCTTCCTCTCCTCCTCCTCCTCCTCCTCCTGCTGCCACCACACGAGCGCAGCAGAGCCGCGGAGCTGCCGCTTCTGTGAGCTCTGAGCTGACCTTGCAAAGGAAGGAAAAACAAAACAAAACAACAAAAAGCCATCGCAACCCCCAGGTGTTACCGCTGCGCCCACCTCCGGGCGCCGTCCCCGACATGCGGTGCAGCGCCAACCACTCACTGACAGCATCATTAAACACATGCTCGTTTATGAAAACAACCACCCTGGCACGGTCCAAGCATATACAGACAAATCTACTCTACGACACGAGGGGCTGCCGAGGGAAAAGGGGGAAAAGCCTCGAATTGATCAATCATCCGCTGGGCACAGCCACGGAGGGGAACCCCCTGCTGCCCTGCCGGGGATGCCTGGCGGTTCTTAGTTTGCTTCGAACATCTCGGCTCTCAGAGGTGAAAACAAAAGGTTTCTTCTGAATCAGCAGGCAAATGGAAGGGGGGGAGGCGGGGGGGGGGCCCCGGCAAGGCAGTGGGGCTCCGCCGAGCCGGGGTCTGCTCTGCCCGCCGCCCTGCCGGGCTGGGGGGGGGTGGGACGGGGGGAGAGGAGGTTCTGTACCTCAAAGTGTCACTGATTGTGAAGTCCTGGAGCTAGAGCTGAATGAACAGTAAAAGCAGGTTAAATCATTAACCGAGTAGGGGATGGGGAAGCAGCTGTAAAAGGAACAGAGGAAGAAGGCCAGATTATTATTATTCGTGTTTCTTTTTTTTTCTTTTTGTTTTTTTTTTTTTGCTTTGTTTGTATTTTTCCCCCCTCATCTTCTCTCTCTCTCTCTCTCCCACGGTGATGCTGTGCCCCATCACAAGCCCTGCTTGGCCAGCGAGGCGGACACTTCGTCGGCTAACGTGGCGAGCTGGGGGGAGTCCACCATGTTGATGCTGCCGGTGGAGGAGACGTTGCTGAGGCGGCGCGGAGAGGCGTCTCCAGAGATGGTGGGGGATTTGTAGACGATTTCGGCGCCGTGGTCGGTCTTGGCTTTGGCGTTCTCACGGAAAGTCAGCTTATGAGTCTCGATCTGCAACGAGAGCGGAGCGCCGTCAGCTGGGGAGGAGGGGGGGGTCCCACAGGGGCTGTGTTACCTGCGGGCATCAGCCGGGCTGTGCGGGGAGGAGGTGGCTGAGAGGCGGCATTGCGCTGCTCCACGCAGCCTCGGCCTCGGCCCCCCGCGTTTGTAGGAATGGCAGCAAGCCTGGGATGCTGCAGCTCCATCCCAAGGCACCACCACGGCTGCTCCTGCACCCCAGCTGGGGGTCGTGGAGGTGGGACGCCCGTGCGGCACAGCAGCTGCCCTTCCCTCCAGCTTCCAGGGCTGGGGAGAGGAAGCGGACTGGGTTTGCTACTTACTGGTGCCCTCCCCAGCTGAATGTGGGGCTGGGGGCTGCCTCTCCGGGGGGGTGGGTGGCTCCAGCACCAGGGCCTGGAGCCCAGCAGGGTCTGGGCTCGGGGTCCGAGCAGCCTGGCACCGGCTCTTGTCTTCCTTGCCTTTCTCTCTCTACAGGTGAAGAAACCCAACCCAAGGCGGCGGGGTGCAAAAAACGCATCAGCAATTAAAAAACAAAAAACACGAAACAAAAACCCACGAGATCCGATCAACGTCAACCAGCAGGAAGAAGATTTAAAAAAAAAGAAAAAAAAAAGTAAGGAAAAGAAATAGAAAATAAGGGAGAAAAAAGAAGATCTGGAAACCCAGCGTTGTGAGAATAAAAATGACGAGAAGCACAGGGCAGTCTGATGCGTGGAGCAGTGAGAGAAGGGTAAGGAAGGCAGCGATCCGGAGCAGGGGAAGAGCTGAAACAGAGCTGACCCTTCCCGGTGAGAAAAGAGTGCTTGGAGAGAGCAGCAAGAGGAGAAGCACTTTTCCCTTTGGGAATTCAACCCTGTGCGTTGCGTCCCCAGGCTGCAGCCCCAGCCCCGTGCTGAGCCCTGCTGGCACTCAGGGCGATGCAGCACGGCGCCACCCAGCCTTGGATTCCCATTTCCACCTCCCCACACCACTGAGCTTCGCTGGGGAGGCTGGGGCACAGAGCTCAGCATCCTGCAGCGATGGATGCTGATTAAAGCTCAGCCCAATGCTCCACTTTCTAATTAAAGCTCAGCCCAGTGTTCCACTTTCACTGGAGAGCAGCCCTTGCGCCAGCTTTGTGCTGCGCCACTGGCAGCACATGGCATGAAAGCAGATGCTGACAGCAGCATCCCGTACAGCGAAAGCTGGAGACACAAACCTCTCCAGAGAACAGCAGGAAAAGCAGGAAACCACAGCAGAGGGCATCGCCCACATTCACACTCATCCAGGAGGGCCTGGAGATGCACAGAGCGCAGCTTCACAGCCCCAACCGACAGCCCAGGGTCGGTGTGTGCAGCCCTCAGGGGAGCTCAGGAGGACGGGGGTACAAAGCATCCCCCCCCCCCAGGATGTGGGCAGCAATGCCAGCAGTGGGGCACAGCGCTGCCTGGTGAGCAGAGGGGTGCTGGAGAGGAGGCTGAAGCTGAGCCTGGTGAGCAGCACCTTCCCTGAGCCCACTCCTATGGCTCTTTGCTTGCTCCCCCTCCAAGGCTCACACGCACACAGGACAGCAGCCCTGCCCTGCTTTACCTTTTTATTTCCTCCTCCGGGAACGTGGCTGATGTTATCTAAGGACCCGATTTTAGATTGCACCTTATCTTTGAAGTCCAGTTTCTCAGATTTCACCTCCACTTGGCCACCACCTGCGAGAGGAGAGCAGCGCAGGGGTCAGAGCCAAGCAAACAGCTCCCCTGCAGCGATGCGCTGCCACGAGCCTCCCAACCCCCCCCCCCCGACCCCAAAATCCCCCCATCCCAGCCGTGCAGATGTTGGTACCTGGTTTGTGATGGATGTTGCCCAGGGAACCGCATTTGGACGTCACGTGGCTCAGGTCCACCGGCTTGTAAACGATTTGAACCTGCCCACGTGGGAGAGAGGAGAAGGAGGTGAGAGAAAAGGGGGAGGGGGAGGGGGGGGCACGACACGGCGGCACCTGATCTGGATTGGAGGGAAAGGAGCAGCTCACACCCCAGGAGGATTAATGAGATAAATGAAACGGTCATGAGAGATGGGAGGTCATTAATGCCCGTGTGCAGGAGCCTCTCTGATCACATCAGCATGCATGAGAGCGCCTCTCCGCAGAGGGGGGAAGGAGAGGCAAATTTAAAGTGCTTTAAGTGAGAAAGTGGAGTGGTAATTAATTAAGATTTGCATACACATCATCCGAAAGGAGGAGATATACCAGAGAGAAAAAAAAACGTAAAAAATAAATACCTTTTCTGGTGTAAAACATAAAGCTTATGTCCACAAAAACTGAAAGAACAGAAATGATCAATGTGCACAGAACTTTGATACAAGAGTGACCAAAAAAACACGCATTTCTGAAAAAAGAACAACAACAACAACAACAACAAGGCTGTCATGGAGCTACAAAGGGTCAAAAAATAAAGAGACATCAAGTCTAAAAGATCCGATGGGAGTTCATAGCATGGAACCTAAGCGGGAGTTGGAGCACACTGAAGCACGAGGGCACCTCCTGGCGTTGCTGCAGCCCGACGCGCAGCCCCAGGCGCACAAACGCAGGCGGCGCACGGGGGCTCAGGGGGGATGCGGGCAGTTTTACACCACGCTGGAGAACAGGGAGGGCTGAGAGCCTCGGGGAGGGCAAAGCAGGGCACACACAGCAGCGACACCGGGACAGAGGGGACAGAATGTGGCTGCATCCCCAGTGCCCGCCCACCCTGAGCCCTGCGATTGGGCTCGCACCCCCAGGAACCGGGCAGCCCTGGGAGCTGCAGGGCAGCGGGTGCTGCTCTCTGTGTGCCTGCTGAGCAGCCCCTCCATCGGCCCTCACGGCTGGAGCTTCATCGCCTCCCTGCAGCGCCGGGAGCAGCGCCCCGTGCTGCCTGGAACGCCCTGCGTGCACCAAACCTCGCGTCGGCCCCGTGCCCGGCAGCCCATCCTGACCCTCAGAGCCACCGGTGGCAGCGGGGCTGTGCACGCAGCATCGCCCCCCAGCTCCGCTCCGCGGCCAGGGAAAGGTGTGGGAGCGCAGCATCCCGGGGCGTGGGGCTGAAACAGCCCGCGTGCAGCAAGGCCCGGTGCCAGCAGGCGCTGCAGGGCTCGAGGGCTGAGCCTGGACCTGCAGTAAGGCTGGATGTCAAACGCGTGGGTCAGCCCCACCTCTGATGGTCAGACACACCGACAGGACATCGCACGGAGAGTGGGGACAGAGGGACGGGGAGAACAGCAACCGCAGGGGCTGAGAGCACACGGCAGAGACAGACGTGAAGACAGGGATGGGGAGAGGTCACACGGAATGCACTGAGCAGGAGGAGAGCCGGGCTCTTCAAAGGCACAAACAGGAGCTGGGAGGACAGAGCTGTGCCCTTCTAACCCCAGTGTGCCCCGCTGCAGGACCCGGCTGTGAGAGACCTCCCATTTCCACAGCAAGAGACCCATCGCTGAGTCCTTCCTGCTCTCCTTCCGGCTCAGTTTTTTACAGACAAGACTCACTGAACTCTTTGTTATCCTGCTGGGGAGCAGAGCAGCGCTTCACCAAGGAAGGCAAACAGGCACAGAGTTGTTTGCCTGGGAAATCTGTGCCAGAGACCTGGGGATCCCATCTCAGCATCAGCAATGCGTAGGTCAGCTTCTGCCTAAAGCATCGCTGTGTCAGAGCACTGCCACGAGAAAGGCACTGAGCCCAGGTTCTGTATCTGCCCCCAGGTTCTGTATCTGCCCCCAGGTTCTGTATCTGCCCCCAAGTTCTGTATCTGCCCCCAGGTCACTGTATCTGCCCCCAAGTTCTGTATCTGCCCCCAAGTTCTGTATCTGCTCCCAGGTTACTCTATCTGCCCCCAGGTCACTGTCTTTGCCTTGGAGCAGCGTGGCTATGCAGGCAGTCACTGCTGACTCTGCTGCAGAGGATTAAGGCACAGCTGCATTGCACCCCAGTGGCTTCTTGTTGCCCCCCAGTCAGAGGAGCCCCAAGGCACCCAAGGATGATGATCTCTACCTTAAAATGCAGGGCATTCTTCGCCTGCTGCAGCTTTCAGTGCCTGCTCAGTGTGTGCTGAGCTCTGCTGCCAGCACGACGATGCGTGGCACACATCAGCTCCTGGCCTAACAGCGCAGCAGGCAGCGCAGCCAGGGCTGGGCTTGGGTTTAAGACATGGCAAAAGCAGCAGGGAACGTGTCTCACAGAGGCCTGACCTCTGCAAAGCAGCTCCTCTGGTGTGCGAATAAACGTGGAATTACATCAGATTTAAGACCAAGGTGGCAAACCCAGTTTACATCCTTTATGTGCCGAGCCCTCTGCGATGCTCGGTTTCTCAGGGAGGGCATCCAGAGATCAAAAACAGCACAGAGGAAACCCATGGGGAACATCTGAGGGCACCAGGAGGCTTCCACAGATGGACACAGAGCGGGCACAGCCCCAGGGCTGCACTGTTTGGGGTCTCAGTGATGCTCCTCCCTTTGCCCACCACCATTCCCAGACCCAAACTCTGCCTCCAGAGCAGACGGTGCAAAATCCACCAACCCTGCAGAGCCCCTCCAGGTTTCTGGCACAGCACCTGGAAGCTGAGCGTGGTTACAGGTCAGGGAATGGCTGGAAATGCCCACGTTCCAATCCGTTTGCTCACTATCACTTCAGGCTCAGCCCCCACGGGCACCAACACACACAGTGGACACGAGGAGAAGCTTGATATTCACATGGATCATACTTGCCTGATGGGAAAGGCCAGGAACCTCGCTTCTACGTGCTGTGCAGGGCCACGTGCACCTCAGCAGTACAGTAAGCAACGAGGGCTGCATTTGCTTTTACATCTATCACTGACTGCACTGTGTGCAGGGGCCCGAGCCTCGCAGGCAGCACAAAGCCTCAGGTTAAGAGATGTTTTGTTACAGACACGGTTTGCAAGCGGCTCAGTTAGCTCTGCCCACGTCAGGCACGGAAAAGGACTCGTTAGGGCTCCTCTACCCACGTCTTCTGGGTTAATGGGTTAAACGACAGCACGTCACCAATTGCTATCTGACAGCAGCGCTGCTGCAAATAGCATTGGTGCTTGGTGTTATACAACATGCCACTACGGGGGGGGATCACAGCGCGCTCAAAGTGTGAAGGTACTCACACTGCCTCCTCCCGGGATGTGTTTGATATTATCCTTTGAGCCACACCTGGATTGAACGCTGCTAAAGTCCAACTTCTGATTAACAATCTGCACCTTTGGTAGCCAGAAAAGAGTCATTGCATGTCACCAATTGCTATCTGACGGCACGGGAGCTGCAGATAGCATTGGTGGTTCAGCGTACACAACATGCCACTTATCATTAAGAACCATTACAGTGCATTGAAAGTGTGAAGGTACTCACACTGCCTCCTCCTGGGATGTGTTTGATATTATCCTTTGAGCCACACTTGGATTGAACGCTGCTAAAGTCCAGCTTCTTATTAATAATCTGCACCTTTGGTAGCCAGAAAAGAGTGTGAGAAACAACATGATCATCTGCAGCTTGACCATGCGAAATATCACCAACGCCAGGAGCCTGCCTGCCAGGGCCAAGAGCAAAGGAGGACCTCTGGCTTGCTGCTCCAGGGTTGGAAGCTGAAGATGGAGGTGGGTGAGCTCTAGATTGAGCTGGATGAGATCTGCCTAGCAAGGCAGCCCTGGTTTCCATGCCAGAAACACCAGCAAGGAAGCCAGCTGCCCGTCTGCTTCCACTGAACAGAAGGGGGGACAGCAGACATGCTGGAAAGCACTGCTGCTCTGAGACAGCACCTGCAGAGCTGCACCACCGGGGTGGGCTGGGAGGAAGGATGGGGCCGAGAGACCCCCCCTGCTCAGCTCTGTGCCAGCACACACAGCTCTGCCCGGCCTCGGGGTCCAGCAGCTCCAAGTGAAGCCACGGGCTGCAGCAGAGCGGCGGTGTGCCCAGCACGAGGAGCTCAGCGTGGGGTTGGGCTCCAACTCCTTCTGCAGATGCAGAGGGAAGGAGCCGTTCTGCCCGGGATGCAGTGCCAGGACTGCAGTTTTCGTAACCCGTGTGCAGGTGGGATGGAAGCACAGCCCCAACCGAGCCCTGGGGCGGCTGCCGGCCTGCACTGCTCACACCACCTCCAGAGGGAGAGATGCTGTAATCCTGGAGCCACGTGCCATGCTAACTTCACTCCCACCCCAAAGCCCGTCTGCAAGAACCCGCTGCAAGGGCAGCTCTGCTGAACCACTCCATGCACTATCCCACGGCTGAACGCAGCGCCTGCTCCCTCCCCTGCGTGGACCGGATTGAATGAAGACCTGAACCAAAGGCAAACACCAGCAGGGGCACACAGTGCCTCAGCTCCCTCTGAAGAAACGCCACCAGAAGCACAACGCTCCCCAGAGGGAAGGAGGCACAGCATCCTGCAGGAGGGCGCTGCACCCGCAGCCTCTGCATGACCAGATCCCCACCGTGGTGAGGTGGCACCCTGGGCACCCACCCTTCCCATTTCAGCAAGCGCTGCCCGCTGCTGCCAGCAGAGCTTGCTGCACCACGGCTCTCCAGCACCAGGAGCATCACAGCTGCCACAGCCCTCCAGCATTGCTTTTCAAGTTCACAGCAATTAATTCTGCAAATCAGGGCACGGTTTGGCCTGTCTGGGTTTCGCGAAGGCAGCGAACCAACAACCAGAGCGGCGCTCAGACAGCGCAGAGCTGCTGGCGAGGAGCAGCCCTTTGCAGTGCAGCACAAACCAGACGTGCAGAGAGAAATGGAAAAGCACCAGTGCAGCTGAGGGTGGTGAAAAGAAGCCACCCCAAAGCCTTCCCCACACCGAAGTCACGCTCAGAGCCAGCGGCTTGCACACAGCAGCATGCACCACGCGTGGAGGTTTCTCACGGCTCTGTTGCACGATGGCTGCAGACGAGGCAGCGATGCTCTGCTGGGCAGGCAAGCACACACACAGTGAGCCCAGCTGTGCTCACTGCCACACGCGCAGCTCTGTCACTCAATATCTGTGTGACAGCCACCAGCTGCCCTCAGGCCTCCTGCCGTGCAGCGAGGGGCATCCCATAAAAGCCTCAGGACGCATCCACACAGCACAGAGGCACAGAGCACTGCACTGCTGCAGCTGTGTGGCTGCATTCTGCTGCTCTGGAGCAGTGGGGATGCACCACTCTTCACCCAGCTCAGGCTCTCTTTGCAGAATTCTCCTCTGCAGAGCTTGCAAAATCCACCACGACGCCCTATTTCCCAAGCACTCAAAGCACACAGCTCTCTTTGCTGCCCTCTCAGAAAAGCACTGGTGGTCCTCAAACTGACACTGCCACCAGATGTGGCTGTGCCACGCTGCTCCACCGCAGCAACCGCAGCTGGCTGCAGAATGCAATGCAAAACCCCACCAGCCAAAGTGGATCCCGAAACCCTAACCTGCTCAGCTTCTGCACTGCTTCTCTCATCAGTTTCAAAACTGAATCTACTTGCAACACCAGCAGATCCAGCTCAGTCCCAGCAGGACTGGGGTCACCTCAGAGCTGGTAGCAGCAGGAGGACCCCAGCAGGATCCCAGTCCTTGCACTGGTTGTGTTTTGAGAACAGCCCAGCATGCCCAAAGCTCTCTGCCCTGCCACGAGGCTGCAATTCCCTCCGCAGGGGTTGCCTGGGGTCCCTGCAGGAGGCCGCCATCCTCTCACAGAAGTGACTGCTCCAGATCACACAGCAGCATTCAGAAACACAGCCCTGATCCTGGGACTCCTTAGGGCTGCAGGTCCCAACTCTCCCTCTAAAGCTCTCCCTAACAGGACACCACGAGGCAGCATCACCCCTAGCAGCCACTGCAGGCCAGGCCACCCCACGGCCACGAGCAGCCCTCCCCGTGGTTCAGCTGCACTAAGCCAGGCAATTTCAGGACAACTGAAAGCCAACCAGCCCGAAAAACCTCCAACACTGGACATCAAGCTGCCCAACAGCCGAAGCCCAGCTGCCCAGAGCCGTGCCTGCAGCCCCAGCTGGGTGCTGCCGCTCCGGGTCGGGGCTCAGCCCCTCGGCACCCCCCATCCCCGCACAGAGCAGAGCCCAGCTTTACCTTGCCACCTCCAGGTTGGTGCTTCAGGTTTTCGGTGGAGCCGATTTTGGATTTGACGTTTTTCAGGTCGGGCATCGGAGCCGCCGAGGGCTGCACGCGGCTCTTGGCAGACGCGGGCGATTTGGGAGGCGTGCGAACCACAGCCACCTTCTTGGGCTCCCTGGCTGGTGGGGTGGGCAGAGAAGGAGTGCGGGAACGGCTGCCTGGAGTCCCGGGGGAGCCGGGACTGCTGTAACCGCTTCTGTCTCCAGACTTGGGCTGCTCACCTGGAGAAGGCAGGCAGACGCAGCGAGGTGAGCGCAGGGCGAGCGCAAGGCACGCAGACCTGCCTGCCTGCTGGGGGTGGCCTGCAGCTCCCACAGCCCCCCGTCAGCTCCCGCCAGGATGGGACAGACACCCATCAGATCCTGGAGCCAAAGCTGAGGTCGAAAGCAGCCTCCCAGCAGCTCCAAAGAAAGGAGTTCTTTATTGTCTGGATGACTGCTAAGGTGCCCCAGCCCGACATCAGCACGCATGAAAAACTACAAACAAAAGGCACTGAGAGGAACCCGCTCTCCTCTTCGGGGTTTGGAAGCGTTTTCACCGCGTTGTTTTGCATAATTAAATAAAGCTCAGATCACTGAGCAGCTCAGAACTGTCCCCACCTTAACAAATAAAAGAAGATCCTTAAACATCACCTTTCTCAGACTTCGCTGCTGCAGGGGGTGGCTTTTTCTGCTCCTTCCTGCCTGTTTAATGAATGAGAGAGGTGCTTAATAAGGACGGAAACTTCATTGATGGAAGGTTTTAACGCAGCTCTGATAAGTATGAAAAAATGCACATATTCAGAAAATGCACCGCTGAAATGGAAATCCCCAACGCTGGGCGCTTCCTGGGCTTTGCTCCTGGGAATTACGGGCTATAATCTCCATTCCTGCAATCGAAGAATGGATCCTCGCACCCCCAGGTCTTTGGGAAACATCGTCAAGAGAAAAGGCAGAGATGGATTAAAACAAAAAGAAATGAAGCTGGTTAAATCTTCCAAATTGGAGGAAATCCCAGCGGGACGAAGCGAGCGCCACCTCCTCCCTGCTGTGTTACCAACAGAGCACATAAAGCAGCAGCACCACCCTGACGGTGCAAAGCTCCCTGCCCCACAGCCCTGCACGGAGGCACAGCCCCACACTTACCAGAGCCAGGAGGGGTCTTGGGGGCCGTGGGGGTTTTGGCTGGGATGCGGGTGGCGTTGCTGGAGTTCCTCTGTGCCTGCCCGGCTGCAGAGCGCGGCGTGGCCGGCTTGGTGCCACCCCTCATCTCCTGGCCCTGCAGGGACACAAAAGCAAAAGGTTCCATTTCTTTCCCTTTTTTTTTTTCCCCCTCTTGTTTTGCTGTCCCGATGGGAAATAAACCCGCTCTTTGATTGCACAACAGAGGCTCCATCCACGAGGCAGAGCCAGACCCCAAACACAGACATTTCCTTTGTCCTCCCCCCCGTATGCACCCATACAGCATCTGCAAGGGTGTGTAAACAGCAGCGTGCCATCTACTGCCTGGGGATCCTGCAGAAAAGCCCTCCCAGGTCTATAAACCAACGCGTCTGCTTTCAAGCTGTGCTCTGATGCTGCTCTGTGTCACAAAGCTGAAAACGTGCAGCGGGGATCTTAAGAGCTGATGGGTCCCAGGGCTGCAGGGAACCATCACAGCCAAACTGCATCCTCTTATCCAGAGCTGCAGCCTCTGCTCTCTCCCTCAGCACAGCTGTGTCTGTGTGACTGAGCGCCACCGAGGGAAACCCCCCCAGCAGAACGAGCCACAGAAGTGAGTGATTTTCACATCCACCTGGCAGACGCAGCTCTGCACACAACCAATGCAGCTGCCGTGTTCTACACACCCATAAAATGCAGCTTAAAGCTGCAGAGCAAAGTGCATGAAAGAACACAAAGGGACCCAGAAACGTTTCAGAGAGACCAGGTAACCCCTGCAGCACGTGAGATGCTCTAAACTGCAGAACAAGGGGCCGTGAGACTGACACAGCCGCTCCAAAAACTGCCGTGCAGAGAAGCACATCCCACAGCACTGTGGATGCCCCATCCCTGCAGGCGTTCAAGGCCAGGCTGGATGCGGCTCTGGGCAGCCTGGGCTGCTGGTTGGTGACCTGCACACAGCAGGGGGTTGGAACTGGATGATCATTGTGGTCCTTTGCAATCCAGGCCATGCTATCATTCTGTGACCCCCCTCTCTGAGTGACACGCTGCCAGCACTGCCTTATGCTGTTCTCCAAGGCAGCTTTGCCTCTCTCACATCCCATTTCCTTACCTTGGCCTTTGTTTCATGCATTCCTGTACTGGCAGGTCGGGGTGTGACTCGTTTAGAGGTGGATGCAGGGCTGGAGGGAGATTTCGGAGGGGCTGTGCTAGAGGAGGTGTGTCGGTGGGGAGGGATGGAGGCTCTATCGCTTGGGGGTTTGGCAGTGGAAGGTGAGGATTTCTTACACATGGAAAGAAAATAAAATTGGAACAACAAAACCAAAATCAGTATGGGAGGGGAACAAAAGGGATAACCAACATCACATAGGATTAGAGGGTGCAATGTGGAAGCAGACTTGAAAAAGGCAGTGGAGAGGTTCTGCCCTCTGCAGCACAGAGTTGGGTGAGGGCTGTGGGCCCTGGGACACTGCTGGCATCCTAAGGCTCCACCAGCAGAGCTGTGAGACACCCAACGACAGCCTGGAGTTTGCTTCTGCACCAGTTTGTCCCAACAAAGCCACTCTTCTGCTTTCTGACTGAGAATATCACATAGAACCACCCATACAAAGCCACCATCTGCATTCTAGATTTGATTGCACCATCCAAACCAGGGCACGGGGAGAGGAAAACAAAAAACAAGGCTGAAGAATGGAGGGTAATGGCAAAGGACTCCTAAAGCAGGAGTCAGGAATGAGCACAGCCCACGTGGGCAGGTGGGGATCACCTCTGGTTCTCCTCCTTTGCTTACCTTCGGTTTCTTTTCATCAGTTTCAGCCCCTTCCTTGTCTTTGCTATCAATACGAGCTGACAAACGGAAACACACAGTTACACTTTGAGGGATGGGTGAAATGCACAGCTGACAGTGCCTGAGCTACAGTAACATGCATGCTGAGCTGCTGCTACACCTTCCCTCTAGCTGAGATCAGATGCTGCTCTCAAAAACGCGAGAAAACCCCCCATTTCTTGGCAAAACACATCTAAGCAGATTCCTCCTGGGTTAACAGATGACCCTGTGCACAAGCAACATCAGTCACTGCTGGAGCATCAGACACACGCCAGGTCTGTGTGAGCCTGTTTGCACACATCTGCACTCAGTTCCAGCAGCCCTTGTTCAGTTCAGGATAGAACTGCCCTCTCTGAGCCCAATGTGAGTCTGTTTAATAAAACCTGTGTGGTTCCAACAGTCAGGTATATGCACACTGAAACCAAAGGACGCCCCAACCGACCGGCACCAGGGAGCCCAAGGTCTGTCTGAAATCTCTTCTCCAGTGTGTTAACTTTGCAGCTTACTTCCCATCCCTCCTGACACCACATCCCAGCTGTGTGCCCTCCATCTGGCTCAGGCTCTGCAGGCTCTTAACGCTGAGCCACTCTCCTGTTTGATTCACATCAAGCACACGGTGGCCCTCGCAATATTTCAGGCCGCAGTACTAATGAGATGAGAAGCTGAGAGGAAGAAACGTTGGTACTGTCAGGCACTCATTACAAAGGTCCTGCTTTGAGCCCTCAGCTCATTCCTTCCTAATCTGGGAGGAAAAGCTTCTGATCTTCACCCCAGTGTTTGGAAACCCAATGGTCAGCCCACGTGTGATGCCATGAATGCAGCACTGATGCCTCTGACCCGACCCCAACAGCCCCAGAGCTGCTGCAGAGACTACAAAGTGTCTCAGCCTTTGAAGGAAAAATCCCGTTAATGAATTAATTAAAGAAATTCCTTCTGTTGAGTCAGAAACTGGGTGACCCTGGGCAAGGCAGCCCCAGCCCACGATTGGTTTCAGGCTCTGAAGACAGCGACAGCAAGCCATGCTGATGCCCTGCAGCACGTGTGCAAAGCTTTCTGATGCTTTCTCAGGTAGTAAACAATAAGAAATGTGTGATGAGCTTTGGCTCCGAGGGGAAAAGCTACATCAGCAATTTCCTCATTGACCCCATGCAGCAAAGAGCGCGTTTCTCTCTGCTGCAAACCAGAGAGGAGGGGAGGGGTGAGCAGGATTTCCAGGTTAATGGAAGCAGCCATGCCAGGTTTGGGGACGTGGCAGTGGGGTGAAAGGCAGAGCTCCTCCCCAGGCCAGCCCTGACAGCACAAAGTGGGACACAACATGGCAGGAGACCAGCAGGTTTTGCTGTGCGTCCTGCAGCACCATTTGCACTGCTGCACTGAGCAGATTCCTCTGAGATGTTCCTGGGTCCCTGGAAACTGGGAAGCAGCTCCTTCTTGGAGAAGGAAGAGGTCTAAGAGCTGCTCTGCCAGCAGGGATGCTCATGCTTTGAAGGAAGAGCTCAACCCTTCACCGCGGACAGCCAGAACTGAGACCTGCTGCACAAACAGCACCCAGGGCTCTGACTGCCCAGGTGCTCACAGAGGAGGATTTCCAGCCCAGACACACGCACAGCGCTGTGCCCAAGAGCCTCCACACACAGAGCACCCTGCAGAACACAAAACACAGCCATTGCATCAGAGCACCCACAGATCCAGAGCTGGGATCAAAGCACGATGCTGTGTAAGAGCCTCAGCTGTGCTCTGCAAGGGACCCACGTGGGACTTTTCCCTCGGTCTGAACTGCCACCTCCCTTATGTTCTTCCCTCCTCTCTAGGAAAGCTGATCCAAAGACTTATTGGACTGGACAGTGGACACATGCAAACCAGGTGGCAGCGCCCCATTGGGACAAGCTGCAGCGTGCTGGGTTAGCCCCAATCCAACATGCCACAACACCCAGCCAGAATTTGTCTTCTCTGGGAAGCTGCCAGGTGTGAGTAAAGGAGCCCAAAGATCCAAAGGAATTTTAACTAAAAAAAAAACAAAAAAAGGAAAGCATGATTGGGAACCCGCCAGCACCATGCAAGGGATGCAAAACCAAAGCATGGGGGTCTGGCAACGATGCCAAGACATCCAAGATTAAAGGAGGGAGAGGGGGAAGCAGCAGAGCTTTGTAGATCAGTTCACAGCAAAGGTCCAGGCCATGTCCCAAGCACTGCAATTCAGGAGGAGGCAGCAAGCTGAAGTGCTGCTTCAAGCAGCCTCGTGGTGAGCAATGCACCAGCAGTGTGAGCTCCAGGCAGGCAAACGCTGCACACACCTTTCAGGAGAGGAACTCGACTGACTGCTTTATCTGCAGCACCAGGCTTCTTCTTGGGCGTCCTGCACCCTTCTGCACCCAGCTCTGCCTCTTCCACGGCAGCATCTCTGTCTTCCCTGCCATCCTTTAACCCAACGGGGGGTTTGGCTGCTTCCTTTAAGGGTCCAGCATCCCCTCCTGCCCCTTCTGTTCGGGTCTCAGAAGGCTCAGACGAGGTGACATCTGCGTATGACTCTTCCCCCTGCAATTGCTGTCTCTCCTCTTCTGCTTTCTGTGCTTCAGATTCAACAAGGAGCGCCTCTCTCTCTGTGTCTCTCAGGACATCTCTGGACTCACTTTCTTCTTCAAGAGCTTCTTTGGTTGCTTCGGGTCCTGGAGGAACACGCTGTCCCACCAGGCCAAGCAAACCCTGCTGAGAAGCTTCATCCTCATCTCTTTCCCATCTGCTGGCATCTTCTTTTAGCGGGGCTCCAGCATATAACGGAGCTGGCCCAGCTGCAGTGCGGGAGGCATCAGTGCCACCTGCTCCTGCCAGCCCCACGGCGCACACATCACCCAGCTCTTTTCCCATTGCTGAATCCACACCAATGCCTTCTCTGCCCCCACGATCCCACAGCTCACTGCTGTCCTCAGCTGGTCGGACATCTTGGTACATATCCAGGGGTATCGGGATAGTGACCTCGATCCTGGTGGGAGCTGTGGCTGCAGGCTTTGTTTCTTGTTGCAGAAGAGGCTCCTGAGGAACAGCAGCCAGCTGCTCCACGGGCTGGCTGCCCCTTTTCATCACACCTCCCACGTGCTCCTTAAGGCCAGGCTGCAGCTTTGGAGAGCTGGGCTCCCCTGGAGCTGAAGACGCAGAGTGTGAAGCGCGGGCAAACAGTGAGCACAAGCACAGATAGGTGGTCAGTCACATCATGTAGAAGAGAAACTTGGGATCTGTACTATTAATAAGAGCTGCCCCATTCAGCAGACACAGAGCGGCTTTTTAAAGGAACTCTGACCTCCATGGGAACTGGGAAGGGGGTCGGGGGCAGCGGGGGGGTGGGAAGACAGAGCACTGCCTGGACCCCATAGCAGAGGTGGCTGAAGTGTCCCCGTGTGCCATGCCTGCTGGGCTGGCTTTAGAGGTATTCAGAAATCAGCAACACATCCAGCTTCCCAACCACCTCCAGATCATTCCTGGTTCTAATGAGCCCGGGGAACAGCACTCCTCTGTCTGCTCCCTTATTGCTGTGTCCTGAACAGCAGAGCCCTGGTGGGAAGGACTGTCAGTAAACCGTGGCTGTAACTACACAGCAGCTCTGGACTGTGTGCCCACTCAGCCTAATTAGTGTTCCAGCACTGCTGCCATCGTTTGGGCAGAGGAGAAAGAGTGACATTTAAAACCCAAAACATACGGTCACAGAAACACAGATCTTATTTTTTTTAGGGTAAAGGAGACAATTATTTTCCATTGCTGATCTCAAGCATGACACAGAGCTTGGCAATTTCACGCCACAGTGCTGCATTAAGCCAGATATTCTGGTTGAACTGAAGCTCTTCTGCTCAAAACTCTTCCAACTGAAGCAGGGATGTGCTGAGCAATGGAGAGCTCACCCTGAACACTGGGGAACTGCTCGAAGCCCTCTGCCCCCATAAGGATGTGCACTCCATCCTGCAGGGCTGCCCGCAGGCCTGAGTGCTGCACAGGGAGAGCTGGCAGAACACCAGCAGGGCAAATCTGAACTGAAAGATGCTGAGACTCCAAAGGCATTCTAACGTGCTCTGTCTTCACCGCAGAGATCATTTTTGCAAATCCCACAGCACAAGAAATGAAGGTGGGCAGTTATGAGATACCCACAACTGTGGGCATGCATCAATAATCACATCAAATCATCAGAGCTCATCATCGTTACAGAGCAGCAGCACTGCTAGAAGTCCGTTTTGGAGATGTAACCATTTATGTCAGAAGCCAGAAATGCCATCTATTGGTTCTCTCAGAGCTGCAGTGAGCTGCACGTCCCCAGAGCTGACAGCTGAAAGATCCCAGGACAGGACAGAAAGCTCTCATTGAAAATCTGGTGAGAAATAGCAGCTACAACCAGACTGAAACAGACAGACGGCAGGGATAACTCACCCCATCCTGCTAACAACCTTGATTTCCTTTTAAGTAGCATCACTATTTTGAATGCAGAAGAGCTGCTGGCTTGAGAACCACCAGCCAGGCATCAAATGCTTTATTTTAATTGCAGGGAGCAGAGTGTGTGTAACTGAGCTGAGTGTGAAAAGCAAAGACCTCAATTCCCTCTGAGCTGAGAAAGCAAAGAGCTGCGTGCTTCCTGCAAAGGCAGGGATGACTGCAAACAGCAGTCAGAAGAGGAGAGACTGCAGGAGCAGCCTGAGGAACCTGAACAGAAAACCTCCTTACCAAATGGGCTTTAACTGCCCTTCTAGCTAGCACACAAAACCAGTGCTGTCACATACAGACGTGAGCAGGACAGCTGTGTTGAAGTGACTGCCCACCTTGCCTAGCATTGGCAGACGCCCCTGGAGACTGGGATGCAAAGAGCTCACCCTAAATGAGACACAGTAGTTAAGAGTCAGATAATTCACGTGGGACGTGGGCCCCAGGCTGACCCTACAATGCAATGCTCAGCAGTGCCTCCTGGCTAACTGCACCACCCTGGCTCTGTTTATGACCTTTTCTAGCCTGGAGGATGCTCTGTTTTGCCACTGGACAAACAAGCATCGGTGCTTCAGCCACCTGAGAGAGAGAACCGATGAATGAAGAGCTGCCTGAAATGGGTGTGCTGGGACATTCAAAGTGTGTGTGACCTGCCTGCCAGCAATGGGGAGAGCTGTACAACTGCCCACGGGGTGCAAAGCAGTTGCATTACAGAAGAAAACTCCCAAGCCCCCCAGGAGCAGCAACCAGACCCCAGCGACAGCAGTCTGACCAACCTTGAGCAGCATCTCCTGCAGCGTGGTCCTCCAGGCTGGGGGTGGCTCCTATGCCCGCCTCTTCAGCTGGTCCCAGTTCAGAAGGAGAATGGAAAAAACATCATCAGAACACGAGAATTAAGTTTAAGCACGCTTCTGGAGAATGCCTTTACCTCCTTGCTGATTCTGCCCATCGCGGCTGTGTTACGAGCAGGGCAGTATCAGAAAGGCAATCAAGCTGTGTTAATGCTGGGTCCCATTAGATTTATCCGACAGCTGCTGTACCAACGTGTTTCATCAGCTGGCAAGTCAGCACAAGCTCCTTCAGACAGACACGCAGAAACCTGAGCACTGAGCACGGAAATTTGGGGATTTACGTTTCCTCTTCTACTCCTGCCAAGCTGGCAGCATTCGTATCCATGTCTCTTACCTGAGCTCTACCTCATCCGTGTCTTCTCTCCAGCTGACTGCCATGAGCTCTTCCTGGGCTATTTGCTGCCAGCTAACCTGGGTGTGTAACAAACCCAGTGCTTGCAGAGCTGTGGGCTTGTGTTAGCGTTTGGGTGCTGGCAGAAGCCCATTCTACCACACTGCCTTTCCCAAAACCTGCCTGATGTTTCCAGGATAACCCAGCAGCCACCACACAGGGCCCACGTGCTCACTGTTCACAGCCACACCTGACTGTCCGAGGAGCTCCTGCCCTGCTCTGCACGGCTCTGCTGCACATCAATCCCTTCTAACTCTGAAAGACCCCCATTCCTCCCTGCAAAAGCAGGCCCAGGTGCAGAGGTCCTGAAGGAGCCACTTGGCTTCCTCTGCACGATCTCCAAAACGTGCTGGCAGCCCGAGAAGTGCTGCAGTGGTCTGGCTTCCACCTGCCTCTCCAAAGACAACTGTGTGGGCTGAGAGAGAATGCCCGGGAGAGGAGCAGCGAGGTGCTGCAGAGATGGGCAGGCTCTGCAGGAAAGCACTTTGCCTGGAGACGTGAGGCAAAGCCACCACGGAGAGAAAGACTGGCAGATGAGGAGCTGAGGAAGAGAGAAGAAAAGGCTGCGAGTGTCCCCCAGGCTGGGGAAGGCAAGAGGACAGCAGTAAGCAAGGAATTGCATCAGAAGAAGGAAGCAAGCACGAGGAGCGAAGCACGCCTGCGAAAGGTTCTGCAGCGTTACTGCTCAGCACCAACCAGTCCAGCTCTCTGCTCTATCTGTATCAAGAGATGAAGCTGCACCTCGGTCTCCCTCACCTGTGGTTCCTTCTGGGATCTCCCCGTGCTGATCCTCTTGGTCTCCTTCCTCTACTAAAGGTGCTGTGGCATCTGAAAAACAATGCAGCTTTCACACAGCCAGCAAGTGGCAAAACCCTGGGGAGGTCAGGATGCTCCCAAGGCTGGTTTTGCTCAGAGCAGCACCCATCTCCCTCCCTTGAGCCAGTGCTTGTGGAGGGAGACAAGCGAGCAGGACGCAGCAAAGCTGGTCCTTGGGGACACAGTGAGCTGCCCCCACAGCAAGCACACATCTCTCATGTAGCTGCTCTGCATGAGATCACTGTCAGCCTCCATCTCCAGCAGGGCAGGGTTGGAACTGCTCAATATCTCCATCCTTTTAAATTTTAGATACATTTTGCAAGCCAATGCCTTTACCCGCAGCCACCAAGAGGCAGCCAGTTGGGATTAAAGCAGCCAGAGAAACAGTGCAGTTCATTAAAACAACAGGCAAGTCTCTAGATTACTTCCAAACTAGATTTCTTCCAGTGAAGCAGCACAGAAATGCCCTGACCTGACCCACAGGACTTCTGCATCAACTCAAAGCTGTACATACAGACTCCATCCATCTCACCATTGCAGCACAAATCGTGCTGTGTGAATGAACATATCAGTACAGAGGGAACACAAAAAGAGCTCCACCTGACTCCAACAGGGAACACAGAGCAGGATGGGCAGGCAGTATTCTGATGGCGCACAGTGATGCAAACCTGCGGGCGATGTGGGACTGCTCCTGGCTGCACTGAGCTAACTGGACCCTGAGGTCACTGTGTGAGAAGGAAACAACCTGCAAGAGACTTGCTGAGCTCCAAGCACCACTTCGCATCTCCATCTCCGGCCTTCCGACCCACTCTCCACCTTTAAAGCCAATCCTCTCATTCTGCAGAGTGAAAACCTCACTTGTGATGAGCCTAACGAAGAGCTCTCACCCAAGAGCACCAACGCTCCTGAGAAAGCCCAGCAGAACGTGGCACGAGGCTCTCGGCAAGGTTTAGCACGACCCCAACCATCACGGTTTCAAAGCAGTAAGACAAAGAGCTCCCACCTTCTGTAGTTGGGGTGCTCTTAGCGTCAGAGGTTTCAGAAACAGGCTCATCCGATCCGTCATCGACTGGAATCTGAAGGGGATAGCCTGGAAAACAAATACTTAGAACAGGTCCTTGGCGATGAGTTACAAACCTCTAACGGCCCAGGTCCACTGGAGAGCATAAAACCCCTGAACTGATAAGCAAGCAAAGCGTGAAAATGCCAACCAAAAGCATCGGTGCCATCGCCAAAAAGAACAAGCAGGAGCCAAAAGAAAAACCCAGGGAAGCACACAGCAGAGAATGGCAGAAGCAGGAAAGGAGATCTCAGCAACAGAAAGCAGGGAAGATGAACGTCTGAGTCACTGCTGTCCCCTCTGCCATTCCTAGAGCCATCAGACTCTCTCCCAGAGCTGCTGCTGAGCGCTCCCATGATGTATTTATTCATTCTCCTCACTGCAAACCAGCAAGTTCTTTGTGCAGTGCATAAGGCACAACGCCAGGCTGGGGCCAAAGTCATCTTTTGGAAGAGTACAGCAAAAAGCACAAGTCTCTTCTTTGCAAAGAGGCTGACCAAATGAAATAATACAACGAAAGCTGGAGAAAATGACTCGGAAAAGAAGCTTCAAACTAATAAAAGTGAAATCCCTGTGATGTGCAAAGATGAGGCTACGAGCTGAGAG